GTATATGGCTTTGTTGTTGCGCCTTCGGTTGTCACTCACTCATATTTATCCTTGGGCTTTTAGTTTGTAGCCGCCAATGGTATTTCTTTGTAAACTTTTTGGGAAAACTTTGTGGGACACCCGTAAAGTATACTCTCGATCGCGCGAAGAGAAAACAATCCATGCGAGTGTTTTCGGGCACTATTTAACACAAACCCTCAAATTATCTCTTGTAGGAGCTACAGACCTATCGGTGAATTTATCATTGAACGCGACGCAAGTGTAGGAGGTCCACTCGCTTGTAAATTGAAAAATCCCATGACCAACGAAGGCATCAATCGTTGTTTGGAGCTTTGATTTATTCTTATTTATTATTACCGAGACATAATCATAAGCTAAAGTAAGAAGTTAATATCAATTTGCCAACTTTTGGAGGAGCTGATCGGATAAATAGAGAAAAAAAATAATCGAATGATTAGAAAAAGGTAATCAAACAATGGGATTGACAAACAAGCGATTAGCTTATAGTGACCGACGACTATCACAGCGTGACGTCACTCCGTGTTATTTTAAATAGGATGACATCACGCTGTAATAGTCTTCCACGCACACGTCGTACGTGTGTAAGCATCGAAAACAGAGCGATGGCTCGTTGTTCATTTTTATTTGGATTTTTTGAAAATAAGTGAAATAATAACTAGAAAAATGTCGAAACAACGTTAATATTATTTTTCCAAATGAATTTCAATAACAGTAATAGAAATTTAATGACCGATTTTCGTCAGTACATGCGTAGATGGAAAATAATATTTATTTGTTTCCGTCATTCGCTGTCCATTGTAGTTTCGTCACTTTTTAGATACCTACGATTTCAGTTATTTCTAGTCTTTAGCATATAGTTGAGCTGTAGCTAGTACCTTCACTTTTATACGTTCATCGTACATAAACAAGAGCAAACAAACTTAAAAAAAATAGTAACCTCTTCTACCTTGTCAAGATGTTTACCTTTAAAATTATTGCAGTGCTTTTGTTGATTCAAGGTAAGAACTTTTGACTTTGATGTTAAATTTTAAAGAGATACTTTTTAGCGTTGTAAATAACTGTTACCACACATTTTTGAGTTAAATATAAGCTACAAACCTTCACACCATAATTGGTATCATCTATTACTACTTTCACACATTTAAGATACAAATTCACAACGCAACTAAATAATCCCTGTTGTGTTTTGAACAAGTTGCCAAGGCTTCCTGGAAATATGCTTCAGGAAGAGAGTTACCGTATCTTGCATACATTACAAAAATGGAAAACGGTACGTTAACGTACGGTTGTCAAGCTGCTCTTATTAGGGAAGACTATCTTTTAGCAACTTCAAGTTGTCTAGAAGGTCTTTTGAGTGATGAACTACAACTCAAAGCTTTGATTGGTTACGATCTCGTCGACGAACCCAATTACGTCCATCATGCAATTCCCATCAAAAAAATTACAATTCACGAAAAATACGTCCAAAAGTGAGACATTTGTTTTTTTTATTTATAAATAAAAATTTGTCATAAATAAAGTACAATGTGCCTATCAAATTACAAATACTTTCAGAGATAAGAGATATGACTTGGCGCTTGTGAAATTGGAGCGAAAAGTAGAGCTTAACGACGACATAAAGCTTGTGAAACTGCCCGAGGCCAATTCAGATGTCAACGAGGGAACTTATTTAACGGACACTGCATACATATCGGACTGTGACAGTTGTTGGAAAGCAATGTATACGAGGATTTTGGTCATAGACCGACAAGCTTGTGAAAAGGAGTTGGGAATATTCTATGGAGTACTGCGCAAGTCACAATTCTGCGTCAAAAGCGTTGTGAATGTAAACGAGGTGAATAATATAAATAGCTATTGATCTCGTAAAATTTTTTCTAGTTACATTTACCTACATTTTTTTATGTCCCCTAGGTTTATCCGAATAGTATTTTGGTTGAAAGAAATGGCTCAGACTTTGTGCTAATTGGATTCGTCATTAGAAACAATCTTGTGGCCGCTAGGATTTCAAACTACGTGGATTGGATACAAAACCAAATGAACAGTGCCAATAAAACGATTGTGTACAAAACCGATCACCCATTGATAAACAGTAAAAATATAACGATGATGAATCATACTGATCCCTTGATGATGCACAGTGACAAAGTACCGATGGTACATTATACCGATAAACGGACGATAAAAAGTAGCATCGAAGAGACAATAATTAGTAACAATAAGACAATCCCATACAATTACGTGACAGGTGGTCCTTCTGGAATGTGACAATTTCTTTTCTATTTTAGTGATTATTGAAACAATGTACTTAATAAAATGAAAAATTTAGAATAAAGAATCAGTTTTTTGCACTTATTCAACGATGACTCTATGATAAATTTATGCCTGAGAGAATTTTTGGAATCCCACAAGATCTCTTCGATTCGGTGCAGTTGTTCAGTGCAGTCTCACTCGCACACACATGGAGAGAGATTACGTATTCTGGATTCTTTATTTGGAGCCTAAGAACTTGGAGTCCGTGATAGCCATGACCTTGGGCCAAACAGATAATTTTTCATTAAAAAATCTTGTACGACTGTCTTACACCACGCGATCGGATAATACTTGAAACGTTGAATGATGCGAAATTTAATTTGGCCAAACAGGAGGAATCCCACACAGATTCCTATGCTAACCGCATACGTGTGCACACAGTAAGGACCAAAGTGTAAAGCCGTTGTCTTTGTTTCGTTTTTCATCACAGATACACCGCCAGCCCAAGGAAGATACCGGAGATAGCTGTATAAAAGTTAAAAAAGAAACCTCTTCCTTTCGGCCGCAGCTTTTTACTTGTACACCTGGGGGAGGTGGGGACACACACCAAACAGTGGCCTCTGCTTTTTTAAGAGCCCTCGTATAGCGCTCCCGAGATTCCTCCGAGAGGAGAAAAATTTAAAACAAAAGTCAGCAAACGAAAGTTCGCCGTTGAGCGAAGTTAAAAAACTACTTTATCCGAGAGCTCGCTGGACTTCACGGAGTGGACAGTTTTTTTTTTTTCTTTTCCCTCGTCGAGAGCTTCCAAAGTTCAGCCACGCAAAACTTGTTTTTAGATCGGATCGTCTATTTTATTGACCCCTCCCCCCTTCCACCCTGACCGGTATATTATAAAGATACGATCCGCGTCTATGATTTCGATTTACGTCTCCGATCGCCCGGAACCCCCACCCATGCATATATACGTACAGAGGGGCAGATGTGAAAAAAAAAAAAAAAACCAAAAAGTTTTTTACAACCCATGCGCTCCGGAGGACACGCGCGTGCGTCCATCTGCCCGGAAAATGACATTCATAACGTTTCGTCCCCGCGGGGGTACAGTCGCAGCCGATCCGACCGGTTCGTATACACTCGAATGGCCCACGCGCCACACCCCCATATACACGTACATGTGTCACGTTGCACACGCCAACGGAGGGACACAATCGTGTACACACTGGGGCGTGAATCGTATCAAGCCTTGGTCGGACGAGTGGGGTCTGCGCTGATTGCCACTTGACGCGACACACGGTGTCGCGCACTTCGACCGTCTTGGTCCAATCGGACGTCAACCGCTGATGCCCCCGCTCGGACGCCCCTAATCAGCGCTGGCATGCAAATCTACGCTTCGGGTCTCAGCGGGGGTATCGAGGGCTCTGGTGCTCAACTTTACGTATATCACTACTCGGTTCGATTTATTGTAGCCGTTGGGATTCGCGTTTTCGCGATTGAAGAATGAAAAAAAAATAAGAGAAGAAACTATTTCAAGTCTCGTGAATCCAATGGGCACTTTACTTTCTGCGTACGTAGATCACCTCGAGCTGGTAAGCCAGCGGCAGCCGTTTTCCCGTGAAATTTATGGTAATGCAGTTAGCAGCACGTACCTACCCCTCGGCGTAATGAATACCCGCGATCTTTCCGGATCAGACGGGATCGTTTGTTTCCGCGGAAGTTTTGGGTGCTTATCCGGTATTAATTGTTTTAAAGTGCCCGCAATTTTCGCCGACGGTCGGCGTATAAATTGCACCGATCGTTTGTCCCACCGGTTGTCGATTAAAACTCCGGATGGCTAACGAGCGCCTCCCCCTCGTACGCTCGGGTTAATAACCCGCGGGAATGAAATATATATATATATACGTGTATCCAACCAAGTGCCATCCTCCTTGCCCGTAATTTTTAACCCAAGTCCACGACTCAGTCGGAGGGTATACAATGGGCACATGAATCTATAGTTTATTTAAATACTGTAATTTATAAATAAAACATACCTTTAAGTGTACGTCTTATTCAATGTTTGTTTATTCATTTATTTACTTATTCCGTACAATCGTTGCGTGTGACATTTTCAAGGCTTCTTGCCGGTTTTTTTCGTCCGCCTTATTCGCGTGTAGCCGCCAGAATTAGCCGACGTGGAGTATACATAATTGCGACTGTTGGCGCGTATGGTCTTTCTTTTCGTATACATGGTATAGAAACGATCGGATGGAAAAAAAAATAAAGAAAAAAATTTACACGCATCGCGGCTATACTCGGCACAATGGTACGCCAGTGACAAATGACCATTAGCGCCCGCAATTAGCGTCCCTTTGTCCGTCATCGCGGGCATAAGTATACATATCTCGGCTTCGAGGCCTATATATACGTGTGTATAGGCACACGCGTGCATTTTTGCTTTGAAATTCAAATTGAAAAAGGCTCGGACCGTTCAGCGTTGCCTTTTCGCACAGTCCGTGCAAAACGTTGTATCGCGCATACCTACCTACGCTCGGCTCCCCCACGGGACTATGTATTATATGTGCGAGCTTTTTCGGCACAGTAGCCAGTGTCGCTGCTCCTCCGGGGCTTCAGTGAATTCAGTGCTCGCGTTTGTTAAATTAGCGCGTCATCATATATAATCAGTGCAGGTATACGCGTCTCCCTTTGGCCGAGGTGGTGGATAAATAGCGTGTAAAAAGGAGGAGGAAACTGACCGACAATAGTAGCAATGATGAGGAAGACGAGGACGGTGCCCGTGACGATGGCGATGGCGAGCTCGTAGCCGTCCGAGTGGTCGGGCTCGGCGGGTCCGGGCCAACTGGCGTTGCCGCTGGCGTTGAGGGCCTCGCGCACCACCGAGTCGTTCCAGCCGAAGGTGTACTCCGTCGTCGGGTCTATCGGGCTCGCGTCGGTCGCTGCGCCGCGGCTCGCCCACAGCCACCACAGCTTCTCGCTGGCCATCGACTCTGAAATTCATGGGGGGACACGGCTCGTGAGTACACCACAACAGCTTTTTTTTTCACGCGATCACTTGATTTCCACGATTCGGGCGCTTTGTAATCGTCAATAGTCCTTCGACCGAGGGAGTCTTCAGAGACAATAATAACGTTGTTAAAACTTTTCGCTCTGGAATACTTCAAAGTTGATCGTTATCGTCGGCATCATCGATTGCTTTTGTTGTAAAAAAAAGTGTCGAATGAATGTTCGTGGTTTTTTTTTCTCGCTGATCGCGTCGGGATTTAATTCGCGAAAGTGCACTCGAGCCAAAAGCTAAATCAAAGATTCAAATGGTGGAATGAGTTTCGCGACGACAATCCCACGGAGAGTCGAGCCGCGTGTCTCGAACAGTTCAACTACAACAAGCACCGGCGGAAATGACTTTGGATTAATGAGAACGGGGAGTTGAGTAAGTTTCTTTATTGGGAGTAAATTAAATTTCGAGGATGTAGCTGCGAAAGTAACAACAGGCTGCGACTGTCTCGTTCACAAACGCCTTTCCACTCGGACTTTGAAGAAAATTTCGTCTTACATTCAATTTAAGATTCAATTCAAAGAAAAAAAGCTCGAGTTTTAGAATCGAGCTCACGATAACTGTAAATTTGGGGTTTTTGATTTTTCGTGAATTTTAGATAAACCTTACCTCAAATGGTCCTGTGAAAATCCATGTGCGTTGACCACGTGGCCTTTAATTCTCTCTGATTATCTGTAACATAAATATTAAACGCACTTAATGTGGAATACTATATATTTTGATGTCGAATTTATTAAATCAGAAATTAAAATCACGTTTTACGGTGTAATTATTCCGATTACGGCCATCGATAAATATGATTGTAATTTTCAACAGTAATATCAATGAAGCCATACGTTAAAAAACAACACGTTATTAGTGAGCACCACCCGAACTTCGGCCAATATAATGAAATATCGATCCAATTGTTCCGATATTCGCGTGTCCGGGTACATTTGGAAGGATATTCCTCGAGATCCGTCGCTTCGCTTTTTCGACTATTCACATCCCGAATCCTCGCGCCCTTTTGGTATTGAAATCGATACGATTGGGCAATCAAATTGACAGAATCTTTCCCATCGTCTTTTATCTTCGTAACTACTTGTGCTCGTGACTTTCGCGGAAAATTTTTTTAACTCTCGCAGTATGACAGGCCAACTTCTCACGAGATGCACACGTACTAGATTTCAAAGCGATACATTTCCTGGATTCTCATTACATTTTTTTTCAATCACTATCATCAAACAAAAAAAAAAATTTTTTTTTACTTTCGTTACTTAAGCTCGTGAATATACACTTTGGTAGTGCTAAATGATTTCACATTCTCATAAATTACAATTTACATTTCAATGATAACTTTGTTGTTTTATTGTTAACGTGTGATCAACACCACGAATAAACATGACCGCTATATTTGGGATTGGTATTTGCTTTCCATGTACACGCGATAATAAACACACGTAATTTAAAAAAAACTGGCCACGATAAATATAGTTTTCATCAAACTGCAACTGCCCTCATAAATGTCAGCACCTAATGCATCATGATTGTAAAAAGCAAATAAATCCCGCACCACCAACATTTGATCGTACACGATAAAACTGTTGACAACAGCTTCGAATTAAACGAGCGCCGGTCACGATTTTATCAACGCCATGAAAAATGCGCCGCGGAAAGTTACTGACGCGGACATTGGCTCGCAAAACAGTGTACTTGTGGTGGTTTTTTCATTACCCCCATCAACCTCTGATGAAAATATTAAAGCTTTATTAAACGAGAGACTGTATAGTTTGGTGTACAGCTGCAAACAATAAAACCTCTCGTGGTCCCGAACGAATTTTGCGTCGCAAAATTTTATGGATTCGGGCTCACACAAGGGGAAGCCCCTCGACAGTAATCACTCGCCTTTGGGCGATATTCTCAGACTTGACCGTACATGTCGTGAAATTTTCCAATTTCGCGGGTTGGGTCTTACATATAGGCTGACTCGTTACTTATACCCCGTATCGGATCTGCTCTGATTAAAAATTTTCAGCATGGGGGGGGGGGGGATTGAAAACCATCTCGGATCGATACTACTTTCTTTTCCTTCCTTTCTTGTTGCCGTTATTAAATTTTTGTTTGAAACACTAAACTTCCAAAACTGCGGTACGATCAAAAAAGATTGCGGGTAAAAAAAAAAAAAAAAGAAAGTCATCGCTCGCTCATTGATTGAATTTAATCTTAGAAACGACGGATTTCTCATTAACCCTGATTAATAGTGACAGCTGCGCGCGCGCAAATCGCTCGATGAATTAAAGATGCTCCAAAGAGTCATGCCCCTCGAGTAAAGAGCGGCATTTATTAAACAGAGCACACGCGATGGGCCAAACGTGTAAGTACGTAGACGCAGCAACGCTCGACGATTGATTCATTAGTATGGCTCGTCAATGAGGCTTTGATTGTGCGCTTGGGTCAGTTGTATAGCTACGGTAAGTATACACTCTCGGGTTTGGCTAACGAGGTGGTCCCAAATTCATTTTGCGCCATTGGTATACACTGTGTACACCGATGCCTGCGGTTCACCTTTTGCGCTGATGGTGGTATTGATTTTCCGTAAGGACCTCTACGAGGAAATCAACGCTTTTGTCGAAGGGAGGAAAGGGTGCTCCGCGCTTCGATGCACTCCTCCACGTATCCTCGACAACTGCAGGTAATTTTATTCCTTTGTCAAAGTTGTACCTACGTCGGAAATTTCTTTTTTTTTTTTTTCTATTCGACAATACAATGATGAAGGATTTTCCGCTCAACCAACGATTATTTTTGGGCATTTTAATGGTTCAAGATATGGCAATATGATTGAAAGGGGGTGTTGATTCCCCATTGTGCGACGGAAAAGCGACGGAAAAGACGGGCTGGCGAGATGAAGAGACGCCGCGTCGAGGTAATTTCTCATCACCCCATCCCGAGCTCTGGCCGGCGCGTGAAATACGATTTTCGCGTTAATCCACTCCCAAAGGATGTATATACATGTATATCAAAGCGAGGCGTTAAAAGCGGGTGAGTAGGGATGGGCATTTAGGGTAATTTAATAAGATGTCGAGCGGGAGAATGGCATTATCTCGTTTAAACTTCATTGTGTTGTATTATGCATTATAATATCCCCGTGAATGGTGTAGCACTGAGCGAGCTCTGGGTGAGTCCATCTGTATATAATTATACTTGGTCTCGCAAAAACATCATGACGTATACAGCTTCAAAATCATGAATTTGTATTGTATATACGCGTCATCGATTACGTTACCCGTGACGTGTAGCCGATATGCCTACCGCCTCCTATATACCTACAAATCGACGACGTCACTGTACGTGACTTGCTGACTCTTTTTTTTAAGCGATCGCCTATAACAGCTCTTCACTCTCCTGTCTTTTCTATTTTAATTTTTTTTATAAACTTTATTTTATACTTTCTGGCACGACGGAGAGAGGATGTGATAATGTATCATTTTAAAGTTACACACGTATACGTGAATCTAAAAATGTAACATGAATGAATGCCATTAAATTATATGAGCCGGAGTTCACGAATGTTGCCTTGAATGTCATCCTCGTAGTAATGTCATACAATATCCGATCGTGTAGCTCTATGTGGTATAAATGTACGTAGCCCCTTGTTTTTCTTTGAATATTAGGCGATGACGTACGTTTTCCTACGCACATTTAAAATTTTAAGGACTCGGTGCATCCACTTATAACTTTGGTGTACGAAAAAATGAAAAAAAAAAAAAAAAAAAAAAAAAAGAGTTTACCCCAAAAAAGGACTTCTGAAATCCGGAAATTCCGGCATCCGACTCGGTACACTCGGAGCGACCGGGAGAAAGGGCGGCAGGTGCGACAAGTGGCGAACCAAGTTTCCCCTTTCAATCTTTTTGGTCCTTTCTGCGGGGGTCGGGGGGAAAAAAACCGACCTCGGTGGGAGTCGATTTTCGACTCCAATAGCAAAGAGGAGAAGCTCGTGAAACCAACATTACGGCGGAGAAGAGAGTGTTCTCGGGTCTCGTCCACACACATGATTTCCAGCTGCAAAGGAAATAGGAGAAACATATCAGGTCGGGTCGTATTAGTCAGGTGGAACACACGTGACCGGATTTGGAGTCTCAGTGCAGTGTACGGTGCCTTTTTTACGCCGACATTGTGCACCACACGGCGAGATATTCGCCGAAACGCTATCGGATGTAACTTTAGGTATACGTATAGCAGCTCATCGTGGAACATCCACTTTAACGCCATTACGCTTTGGTATTCCGTAGCGTTGCGCGCATCAAATGGATTGCTGGGGTTTTATTCGTAAAGTTTATTCCACAGTAATACAACATATACCTCGAAGTTGAAGCTTTGCCTGCATGCTTTGTTGCTACAATTTTTACTCGCATGTATTGTGAAAAAAAAAAAAAAAAAAAAAAAAACGAGGTTCACTTTTTGCGCAGGACAACCGAGCAGCACTGATATTTTTTTTTCATTTAAAACAAGAAATTCCTCGCAAAACTATATACAGCAGTTTGAATTTCGTGTGGTAGGTATACGGGCGAATAAACAAGCAAGCTTATTGTACTTGCGTGAGTATTGAAAATTAATAAGGTCCAGACCACCCTCGTCCCCTGGTGCTTCAATACGATGGTATGCTGCAAGCGGTGTTTCCCTTGTCGATAAATTTTCCCCGAGGGGAAGTATATATAGTCGAGAGTACGCGCCGGCAGGAAAGTAACAATTTTGCGACGATACACATAGACGTCGGTGATTGCATTTCGCGGTTGACGCGAAGCTGCGTAATGTTACGTCCCCGCTAAAAGCCTCCCTTTCGCTGTATATGATGCGTGCAGTGTACAATATATGTATATATAGGCACGTGTATTTACGGGGGAGCGCGTCAGGATGACCTGCGAGAAAACGCGTGGGTCGTATATTTCTTTTA